AGTTTTCCTGGAATCCATTCTGTGGTTCAGGAGATATTAAGTTAAAACATGTTCAGGCAGTTGCAGTACAGCCTGATTTTCATGACAGCAGATGATGTTTAGAGCAAGTTTAAAATGAACCGCAGCATTACTTTGGCTTTCTTTCTCAATMGTTTTCACTTGTTTTTAATAAAAACAGGTCATTTTAAATAATACCCCAAACTTTCACTAAAGAATCCCAATCATACAAACTTAAGATGAAAGGAAAACCAAACAGCAAATCTAAGGTTTTGTCTCTCAAATCACAAGATCTAACTATAGTCCGGCTCGCATACAAAGAAAATTTGTTAAAGTATGAAGAATGTGGAATTTTGAGTGTTGGGATTTCAGCTTTTCCTGATGGCTGACCCTGACTGTCCCACATTCATCCTCATATCCATCTGTCAGAACCGATCAGTATCAAGAACCTTGGCGAGTCAACGGGAGCGTTGGTCTTCACGGGCGAAACGTGTCCCGACTCATGAGACGTTGGCTTCCAGTCACGGACGTTCAGCTCCCACCTTTTCATGGTTTCCATTGATGGACTAAAATGTTGCCTCTGGAAAAAGTCAACTCTGACACAAACAGCAGCCAATTATTGAGCTTGGATCTAAACTAAAGCTGTGTTTGTAGTTTTCTGTGTTTCTGACAGAGGAAGATGGGTGCAGCGCTACAGGAGAGCAAAGAGTTTCTCTGATAACGTCTTGTGTGAGAGCTTGTAATGCCAAGGTCAGGATTTATGGATTTGAGGAATGAATATTGCAGATACAGCTCAAAAAAAATCCTTCAGGCAAACTTTTTTCTTCTTCTCAAACAAATCCATAATTTATGAACGCGTCAATTCTCCTGTGACTTTCTGACATGRGTTATTTTTTCTTAAAACATCTGATCTGGCATTGTTAAAGTGAACCTGTGGACAGAAAGAAWACCTGCAAAATGTAAAAAATAAAATAAAAAACACTTTCTACTGTGTGCTCTCTGGTCATTACATATTATAAAGCTTTTACAGATGTGTTTTTTATCACCTGCTGCCATAAAAGGAAGGRCCTGTGTCTGTGGGTTTATTTAATGAAACTCATCTGTTTAGCATCTAAAACAGCTTAACTGTTAGTTGGTACAGACAGAATAAGACTATCGATTTGTGTCTCTTGTTCACCATATGTGCTCAGCTGGGGGTCCCCAAGGCTCTATGTTGAGGTACCTATTCTTTTTGCCTTAAAGTGCCTGTGACATCAATTTTTTGTAATAAATATGAATTTGTTTTTGGAGAGATAACATTGATAACATATTGCAAAACAGTTTTTATGCTGTTGAGATGAACAGTTGTTGAGATATTTGCATGTGAAGTAACAGGAAGTGATGTCAAAGGGGAATGTCTGAGTGTGAACAGAGTGTCTGAGTGTGAACAGAGCTTTGCTACAACAGCTAACACAAGCTGTAGAGAAGAATCTGATGTTTCTTTAGATCATTTTGAATCACTATCAAAGACATGAGGTCAGAGTTAAAATATTGTTTCAATAAACAAAGAGGAGAGAGTTTTCTTTCTTAAAGTGTATCTTACCCCCCCCCCCCCTGTGAAAAGATTACTCCACCCCAAGGCGAAATTTGAAAAATGCATCAAAGTGGGTAGGGGAGGGGGTGTGGATGGGGAAGAGGGGGTCAGAGAGCAGAGGTGTGGCCAGGACGAGAGAACGCAACAGCTAGCATTAGCATAACTGATGCTACATGGAGAGTGACCACAGCGATGCAGATAGTTACATCTCTAAACGGCCTGAGGGGGAGGATTTTTCATGCCCCTCCTCACCAGAGGCAGAGAGAGACTTGATCAAGTCAGCTCAGTCTGGGACTGACTCATGTTGGCTCCCGCGATCAGGACATGAAGCTCCAGCAGCCTCAGCTGAGCTCTGTCCACCTCACACCACACCAACCTTGGACAGAGGAGGTGGAGCACTCAGACAGAAAAAAGTAAAAGCATACAGCTGCAGCTGCTCACAAGATTGCTAGTTTAAATCAGGAAATAAAAGTGTTGGGTCTTGTTTGACTGAAGTTCGGTCCGTTAGGGCTGTTTCTTCATTTCACAATGACGAGATGACCGCGGACACACAGCGGCCCCGCTGCTCTGTGCTCTTTCTGCCTTTACTTCCCTCCTCCCCTCCACAGCGGGCTGGTGTGTGTGTGTGTGTGCGGGGGGG